CGTGTGCATCATGTGATAGGAAAGCATCGTGACTACCCCATCGGTCTCACAGCTACGTACCAGCCTGGATCAAAATAACTCTCTTCACAATTGAAAAACTTTTAAGCAGCGATCCGTTGAAAGTGTCTAGTGAAGATCTCAGGATTCCCACAAAAGTCTTGCCAAAGGTTTGGTAGTGAAGAGTTCATGCTTCATCCTGGGCAATAGATCCTCTTTGCAAAGAGGCTGAAGTTACTGGCATTGTTGAGGAGGGTGTTGAACACCTAAGTGTCTTGTATTTCTTCCTCATAAACCTCCTTGGCCAGGGCGACTGCCTACTCTTACTGATTACACTTTCTGATACAGCGGCAGCAGTGTTATCAGTAGTGACCTGTAATGTGCACAGTTCTCTGGAGTGCCTTCAGGTAAAGGTGTTTTTGTGAAAGATATCCTTGACTTGCTTTCTTAATACAGTGTGAAGTGCTCAGTATGACTTGTCCTTTTATTTATTTTTCCCTGATTCTTTTTCAGCTAGTATTAAATATTTAGATGCTAACATTTTCGGAAGTGGCTGCTAAAACAGATTGACTTTCCTTACTCGGTCCCCTTCAAAGTGAAACACGAGTCCCTTTTTTTATTCAGCCCAGATGGTATGCTTCTTAAAGTGAGCAATGTGTTGCAATGAAAATGGACTACTTCTTTCCCCTTCTTCCCTTCCTCCTTTACTTAACTGAACACATCCGTGTAGCTCATATTTGGGTTGAATTCAAAATTAGTCAGAGGCTGCAGGGTAAATATGTCAACTATTGGAAAGCCAGCACTGCCAGATTGAAGGAATTTCTGCCCCTGCCAACAGGCAGTATAGCAAGTTGGCTGCGTAAAACTTGACATCTGTATGGACCATATTAAAAAACGGACAAGGTGATCTAGTTTGGTCCTTCCCATTCCTGTCTTGTGCATGTCTGTAACACTGCTGCTGCTCGTGTGCGTGCACAGAGCCCGCCCGAGTCATGCAGTGGGCTGTGTGCTGAGTGGGCATGAACATCACCTTCCTGAGGGCTGGGAGGTGATGACTGCACTGAGGATTTGTTTGGGGGTTTTTACATCCAATAGAAGAGGCTCGCAAAGTGAAGGGAGCAATACGATTTAAAGCACTTCCACATGTGCAATTGTTTTGACAGTTCTTTATCCACCAGTGGATTTTTTTGACGATAGAATACTGCACATAAGTTTCTAGATGCATCGACTGTGACACTCAAATTGCTGTCTGTAACCTGCAACTCTTCTAGCAGCTGATGAAGGTCGTGTTTTAAGACAAATAGCTGTTGCTTTGAAGTTGAATTGAGTCAGAATTCGATGTTCCCATTCCGCAGCAAAGCTTGCATAGGGCTGTTGGCCAGGAGCTTGATCTGCCAGCATCTTTTGTTTCCTGTTTGGTGAAAAGGTTAGTAATGCATCCTTGCTTCAGAAGAACATTGAGGGTAAATTTATTGTGTGTCAAAGGAAATCCTATAAACAAACAACTTACTGGGTAACACGTAAAATTTTATATCTGTTCCTGGAACGTTGCTTTGATTTAGTAGAAATACAGCGTTTATTTAAAGGAGTAGTTAAAAATAACTTCGCTTTTTTGTGGGGGTTGTTTCTTGGTTTGTGTGTTTTGCTTTTTGACACTCTAAAAATTTCTTACATTATTTGTCTTGGTCTAAATTTTTTCATTAAAGTAGTGTGGAGATCATGGCTAAAGCTTTTCAGGCAAGATAACAGCAGCAGATCAGACAGGAACTGAAGTTTGATTATTCTGCACAGGAGTTGTTACAGTGCTTGAAATGCATCCAGGTACCGTGTTTTCTCAGGAACACTGTGATGCTTAGGGGGGAGAAGACAGTTCTGTGCTTGGGGCAGGTAGCTGTGAGACCTGGTGTCAGTTCTTAGCTAGCGACTTGCCCAAGTCTAGAAGCGTTGGCAGCAGGATTTTTCATTTTGAGTAGGTGCAGCTTCCATGTGGAAGTGGAGCAGGTTGGATGAGAGGTGTGGATATGAGGTTAGACAAGAAGGTAGCGCAGAGCAACAGAGACATGCCGTGAAAATGGCACCTTTTTGATGTCGCTGCCTAAATGTGCTGCGTAGGTGCTTAGGTTCTGAGAGAGCAAAAGCCTTGGTAATTCCTAATTCTCCTGTCAAGCTTGAAATAACTTCATCTTACATCAGAGATTTACTCTTAGCCAGGACATTTCAGTTTTGTAATGTTTGAGAACTTGTAAATTCTCTAGAATAAAAGTTGACGGCTACCAGGAAGGTCTTCCAGTTGTACCGTACTGACCTGAAAGCTATTTTTTGGGGGGGAATGTGGAGAACAGTTAGTTTCTGCTATTGAAGCTCTTTTGAATGCTTCATAACAAACTTGAGAACATGACATATTGGCTCTGCCTTTACATGCCAAAGAATACCCAGGTATCTAATCTCTTTCGTACGCTGTTCTGGTGACGGCACGCTGTAGTTTTGTAATGCCATGGTAGGTTTTTCTCTGGTTGCCGGCAGAGGTGTTACTGGCCGCCAAGTCCCAGTGCGCTAACAGGAGGTGGTATAATGCTGACAGTTTCACCCTCTCTAGCTGTTTGAGTGTGGTGGTTTTGGTTTGGTGGTTACTTACCAGGTGCAGGTCAATGGTAGGAAGACTGATCTGAATGTGTTCAATCACTGGTTTAAGTGAAAAACCAAACCCAACAAAACCCCCCTTGCTAGTTGAACGTAGAACAGCAGAGCTTAGTTACCAGGGATGGTGTAAGGCTGCACTAGCCCGGAGGTGGCTATCGACAGCGCTGTATCTTTTCGGTGTTTCATGGCAGGACTAGTCAAGGACAAACTGTTCCGGCTGGTGATTTAGATTTAGGGACTCAGGGATGAAGTAGAGGTGGGGTACAGCATTTCCCCGGGAGCTGCTGGGAGCAGTGAAGACCCTGCCTGAGTGAGCTGGAGCCGAGCTTCTTCCAGTGTGCTGTAGGCTGTAGCCTTTTCCCATCACAGTGCAGAGAGCAAACCCATTCTTTCTTGATCAGAAGAGCAATGATGCAGGAAATGAAACTGAGGTTTGAATGAAACTGCTATAAAAGCAAAAAGATGTCAGATTGCTAGCTGCATGGCCTGCTTTTTGCTGGCTGTCTCTTTAAGGTGCTACAGCAGGAGAATTACAGGTGGCTCTGGGTGTGTGGCCAGCGGCTGAGATTGCCCCATCTGCCTCAGAAGACCTTATTTCCACCCTTTTCTGAACTACCTCATCTTTTAACAGCTTGGCACAAATTTCCATGAAGGTACCTGCTCTGTGCTGATGGATTCCTAAAGCATCCTCAGGAGAATATTTGCAAGAAATAACATTTGAGAGTAAATACATTGTTAGGGGCAGACACAGGAATAAAAAAATACCTCCCTGAGGCATTGCTATCATGTGTCTTTTGAAACAGTGATGTAAAACTTAGCAGTTTTGCCTGCATCGGCGATGGAGCATTTTGCTGTGTTGCAGGAGAGGAAGGGAACCATCTGCATTTGGCTGAGGAGTTTCTGGAAAGCCTCATGCTTAGAAGCTCGGTTTTTTAGCAGTCGAGTTCTCCAAAGATGCCTGTATGGAGCAGGTTCCTCCCTGGACTGCAGGAATGAGCTAGAAAACAGTCCTCCCTGAAACTATTGGTCCTGGCAGCTGTGATCTGCTCTGTGCCCCGTGTAGCGTCAAAGAGCGGGGCACCCACCGTGCTGTGTTCGTAGTGCTTCTTCTCGCCCCTGGAGCTCAGGCCTTCTCCAGGAGAGGAAGGAGTTGGACTCCCACAGAAGCAGGAAGCAAGCTGGTGTAGGGTGGGCAATGGAGGGAACTGACTGCAGCTCTGCCACTCCCCCGAGGTTCCAAAAATCATGCAATTATCCTCAAAACAGGTAAATGATTAAGCTGCACATCAGCTTAAGTTGTTCTTCCTGGTTTGGAGCCATAAAGATACGCAGGCAGGTGAGGGGGGCATATCAAAATGTCACAAAAGTGACACCTCCACCCGTATGTGGGAAGGTTTATATTTCTGGTTTTTGCCTGGTCAAGTGCATGTTGCCTGGGACTGGTCTGGAACATGACAGACGAAGGCAAGGGGAAGAATTTTCTTTCTCATCCTCCGCCTTGACTTGCAGAGTTCCCCCAGCTCAACAACACGCTGTGCCATTTCGGTGCTTGTTAAAACCATTGAGTGTCATTATCTTCCTTGTGTTTCTGTGACATCCGCATTCCAAAACCAATGCACAAAGTGGGAAACACAGTAGATTTAAATGACTGAATAGAGCTGTGTGTAACCTTGAAGGCAAATCTCTAGGTTTCCCTTGTGCACTGTTCTCTTGATCTCCAGTATCCTGCCACTAAACCCCTTCGGCTTGGCGGACTCTTAGCATGCCAACTGCCTTACTATATAAGCCTGTGGACTAGAGGACTGTTAATACCGACAAGCTCGATTCGAACTGTGATCAGCAGCACTACATTTAAAACTTAATTGAAAACCTAGTACAAATTAGTCAATGTGTTACCTAGTTCCTAGCCTTTGGCTAACAACAACAAAAAGTATTCTGCAAGCTAAGCAGTGATCTGACAAAAGCATGGGAGTATGGAGCTGAGTTCTTGTAGCCTTGTCTGTTTTACTTGCGTTTAGACTGACCCTGTGAAGGAGACTTTTTTTTTTTTTTTAAGAAACTTTGCTTTGACCTGAGGATATGTAGAAGGCTGTATGTATGTTTCTAGAAAGAAAATAACAACGAAGAAATCTGTAAAATGGGGAGTGTGAATGGAGAACAGGTAAAATGATAATTTAGGACAAAAAGTGCTACCAAGTACCATACTCAGGATACTGATAGGAGAATGGCAAAATAACCAGGGTCAAGATTCATTTGTCTCATCTTCATTCAAACACTGACAAACACCTTGCTCAGTGACTGCTTTTGCTGCCTTTTTAAAAATCCCCTGTAAACTTTCCTCTTTTTTATTTGTTGCAGAGAGCCAACTGTTGCCTGGGAATAACTTCACAAATGAATGCAACATTCCTGGAAACTTCATGTGCAGTAATGGGCGCTGTATCCCGGGGGCCTGGCAGTGTGATGGGCTGCCAGACTGCTTTGATGACAGTGATGAGAAGGAATGCCGTAAGTGACCATTGCTATGACCTTAACGTGCTTAATATCACAAGGCTTGGCTAGGCAGTGTTGCCAGTGTGTTTTGTAGTGTGTATTAGGTAAGTAACAAAGCTGTTACTAGTTTCTTAATTGAGCAATTGTTAGAAAAAATGTTTAGCCTTTCTTATTATTTCAGGTCTTTAAGGTTCTTCAAATTGTCCAGTTGTAATGCAGCACTTTGTAGCAGGTATCTAAACCCCTATTCACAGGTGGATAAATTAAGACAGATTTGACTTATGATTCTTCCAGTGGAAGAGTGATGCTCTGTGATTTTTAGGGATCCTGCGTATACGGCTTCAGCATGCTGGCTTAGTGCTGTAAGTTGACTTCCGCTACCATCAAGACTAGTTCCTTTCATTTCAAAATTGTTGACTGTATCATGTTGTTTTTGTTTTCTCCCATCAAAATGTAATTCTGAACCCTTTGAAACTTAATACTAACTTTCTAGAAAATAGATCAAATGAATTGGCTAATAACGATTACTTGTTTTAATCATCCCTACAGAACTCCCAGTCTAGAGAGCTAAAAAAAAGTCTGATCTGGTTTGCATTTGTGATTTCATCTCTTTCTTAGCGTTAATTAAGCTTTAGTTAATGTTACTCAACCATTAGTTAGCATGAAACTTTCTAGACTACGTGTTAGTCATGGTTTAACCCCAGCTGGCAACTAAGCACTACACAGCTGCTTGCTTGCTCCCCCCTGGTGGGATGCGGGAGAGAATCAGAAGAGTAAAAGTGAGGAAATTTGTGGGTTGAGATAAAGACATTTAATTGGTAAAGCAAAAGCCACGTGCACAAGCAAAGCAAAACAAGGAATTCATTCACTGGTTCTCGTGGGCAGGCCGGTGTGCAGCCATCTCGGGAAACGTGTAATGTTACTTGGGAAGACAAATGCCAAACTTGTTCTCATGGGCAGGCCGGTGTGCAGCCATCTCGGGAAACATGTAATGTTACTTGGGAAGACAAATGCCAAACTTTCCCCCCCTTCCTTCTTCCCTCAGCTTTATATGCTGAGCATGACCTCATATGGTGTGGGGTATTCCCTTTGGCCTGTTGGGGTCAGCTGTCCCAGCTGTGTCCCCTCCCAACTTCCTGTGCACCCCTAGCTGACTTGCTGGTGGGGTGGTGTGAGAAGCAGAAAAGGCCTTGACTCTGTGTAAGTGCTGCTCAGCTGTAACAAAACCATCCCTGTGTTATCAACACTGTTTTCAGCACAAATCCAGAACATAGCCCCATACTAGCTACTACGAAGACAATTAACTGTCCCAGTCAAAACCAGCGCAATGTTTTAACCAGACAGCAAGATTATGCTGCAGCATAACAGTACGATTTGAAATCCAGTTGGGAGTGAAAAAACCCTCAAATTTCATGTGATTCTAGAGCAACTGAGAAATTTCTGAGAAATTACTGCTTTTCATCTAAGAAACGTTGCTCCTTTATGTATATACTTTATGGAAGTTTTCATTAAACTTAAACCAAATTATAAGAGGCTTACCTTACCCAGGACACTTCCAAGACATCATTAGCTTTACTTATGGAGCAGAGGGAAAAAAGAATAACTTCTTCCAAATTAACTGACTGTAAATGCCATGTTTTGTTAAATGCTCTTGCTTTTTTAACTTGATGCCTATTCTTTAACCCCAGTTATCTATCCCTTTTAAATTGAGAGGGCTTTAATAACTGTGCTGTGGAAATCTCCATATATAGTTCTGCTTTAAGCCTGAGAGCTTTTCTCTGTAAGGCATTAAAAATATCTGTATAAAATATCTCATGCTTTACAGTCTTAATAAAGCATCAGGCTTCTTGTGTTGCAATATTGAAGACAGGTTCTTTTTTTTTTTTTTTTTCTTACTTAGATTTTAACATCTGTCATGGTTTAAGCCCAGCCAGCAACTAACCCCCACACAGTCTCTTGCTCGCTTCCCCCCATCGTGGTGGGATAGGGGGGAGAATTGGAAGACTAAAGTGAGAAAACTTGTGGTTGAGATAAGATAATTTAATAATTTTTTAAATTTTGATTAATAATGGAAATAAAGTAAAATAGTAGTAGTAATAATAATACTATTAATAATATACAAAGCAAGTGATGCACGATGCAATTCCTCACCACCACCACTGACGGATGCCCAGCCCGTCCCTGAGCAGCCATCGCTACCCCTGGCTGACTTCCCCCCAGTTTATATGCTGAGCACAACATCATATGGTCTGTAATAGCCCTTGGGCCAGTTGGGGTCAGCTGTCCTGGCTGTGCCCCCTCCCAGCCTCTTGTGCCCCTGGCAGAGCAGGGGAAGCTGAAAAGTCCTTGACTGATGTAAGCACTGCTTAGCCTAAACATTAGCACTAAAACATCAGTGAGTTATCAACATTCTTCTCATCCTAAATCCAAAACACAGAACTATGCCAGCTACTGGGAAGAAAATTAACTCTATCCCGGCCAAAACCAGGACAGTGTCTTTGGAAAGGGTGAACCTGTTGTAAGGAATTGATCGTTGTCATACACTTCTGTTTAAACCCTAGCAGAATTTACATTAGTGTGAGCTTTGGCAAGAAGAATAAATGTCCAAAGTTCAACCTCTGGCTTTCAGTGAGATGTTCCTGATGACGACAGCTGTGTGACTCAGGTTCCTCACTACTTGGCTCCTGAATATGCTGCTAGCGTGACTTCTGGTGTGCTGTTTCTACTTCTTAAAACAAGCTGAATGATGACACCTCTTTGTATTTATAGGATACAGGAGGTTTTCTGTCTCTAAGAATGTTGTCATCCTCTGCCTTGCATGAATTTTGTTTCATCTAGTACAATTAGAAAATCTTAATGAAGATTTTCTTAATGAAGGCTAGGTATTTACCACTGAATCGGTAATGGGAAAATACTCTTTGTGATTCTCTGTTCAAAAATTTCCTTACCAAAATCAGTTGGATCTAGTGAACTGCAGACAGTAATGAACATAGTAACTGACAATAAAATATAAATAGCTGCAAAATGACAGTTCGTAAAAGTTGTTCCTGTCATGACAGACTCAAACCTCACTGATCTAGGCTATGCTGCAACTATGAAGTTAAGCTTCTGCAGAATTGTCCTTTGTTGGGTTTTTTAATTTAAATACTGCCAGCCTGCTTGATTGGTTAACAGTTTTCTGGATGAGCATCCTTCTGATCCTGCCTAAATTAATGGAGATAATTAGACTGTTCTTTCTTCTTCCCATATATCTATCTGCTATCCTATCACCTTCATAAATGTAATATTAGCATGGAAAAGAGACAGCAGGGACAGCAAAGGATTCATATCCTTTACTGGCCTGCTGTTAACAGGTCAGATAAGCCAAAACAGAATGGAGATAGTGCTCATTTGAATCTCCAAACAAAAAAAATGAATATTCATGCAAACAAGGTTCTGTTATGCATCCAGAGAGCTTCAAGCTCCCTGTTCTTCATCTCCATCCTCTCCATTTTTGTAGGCAGCTTTCAACTCTGTATATGCTGCCATGAGAAAGCATGTCTAATAATATGCCTGTGTAGCTACAGTCTGTGCACCATGGCAGAGACACGGGGTGTGACAGGAGTCCCTGGGAGAAAGAATTACAACATTAGTAAGGAGGCTGGGAAGGTTTTGCGTTGTTAGTTGTTGGTGTATGTCTGAATTGAGGGTTAGCTTACTGTCTCAGGGATGGATCATCCTTCTAACCCAGGAAACATCCCCTTTTGAATCCTGCTAAGCACCTAGCCTTGCTAATAGCTTCAGAGGGACAATTCAGACACTCATGTATGTGAGTATATACATACAGTGTGTGTAGCTGAAAAGTTTGGTTTGCAAAGTTTGGTGTTGATTAATTTTGAAAATGGTCCCATCCTTATGGTATACTGCTATAGTGCTACCAACCAGTCTGTTATGTCAGAAAGTAATCAAAATTTGGATGGGCTTATACAGCCCAAATCTGGTGTTAGAGTAGTTCCTAGCTCAGCGTTAAGGCATTGAAAGGCAGCCCAAGCAGGGCAAAGGGAGAAGAAAAATCACTTGTCCTTCTCCCCCCTCCAGCTTGTGTCAGTCTGTAAAGACAGGCTCCTACGTTCCTTTAGGTTGGAAAGGACTCTAGAGATCATTTGGTCCAGCTGCCTGCTCAGAGCAGGACTAACTTAGATCAGGGTTGCTCAGGGCCTTGTCTGGTCAAGTTTTGTACGTTTCCAAGGACAGAGAGTCCACAGCCCCACTGGGCACCTGTTCCAGGATTTGAATATGCCCACTGGGAAAATTTTTTTTCATAGTACAGGATCAATTTCTGCTGATGAGATAGAAGCTGAACTAAACAATTTTTAAAGATGTGCAGTGTGATTAACATTCAGATCCTTTGGCCTTAGTGAGTGGGAGAGGGGAATGTAGGAGGCCAGGAATTATTCTTCTTGACTGAAGAAACAGAAGCTGAAAAGTAAGAACAGTTGACATTTGAAGTGTGTAAGTGTGTGCATCGCATCTGGTTGTGTCGTTGTACCAGCATGTGGTGTGTTACTTGTGTCAGGCAACTCCAGGGACGACAGCCGTGCTGGAAAGTGTCATGCTAGCAACGCAAGGGTTGAAGCGTGTGTATGTGTGTATAGATACAGGTGTAAAACGTTTTTATTTTTTTAATAATTTTAGGGTAGGCTTTTTTACGTTCCTCCTATCAGAATAGGGCTCTACTTACTGAAACTTATTTTGCAGCAAAATTGGAGTCCTTTGTTTTCTGCTGTGATGTTGCTTTGCATTAGCTGAGCTGTTGATAGTGAAGACAAAGCCGTAAGAGTTGCATTAGCAGCATGAGATGGCTGAGTTCCCAGTGTGTTACTACACTGAGACATGCTTTAAGCTGCTTTGTCTGTGATTCCTCATCGACTAACTAGTTCACATCGAAAGGCTTTAACCTTGCTGTAAAGCATTTGGGTGTGAATAGGAGTCTGGTTACAGGATTCATTTGATACTGTGGACTGGTATTTCTGTGA